GGTTCCGTAGTGTTTGCCTATGCAGGTTCACATCACAATTTGTTTACATGTCCAACATACTAAGACTAAACAATCACAATAAAGGGCTCGCTTTGACCATTAAGTGTTGATAATTATGACAACAAAAACAAGTACAGGCACGGAGCGAATCCGGGCAAGAATCTCTGCTTTTGCCATTATTTGGCAAGATTTCTCATACATGAGAATAGAGCAAAAGCTAGAGCTATTATGAGAAAATGAACATGTTCTGATGCAAAATACTCTATAGTCTAGCAGCACGGAGCTGTTGCTTAAGCAGAGGCCTGATATACTCGTGATAGCCATCAGGTATATCTGATTCGTTTAGAGGATCCTTCCATGCTGCCTCATATAGTTTTGGATATACATTTCCATCATAACAGCCAAGAATTGATCCCAGGTAGTGGTCGGTATAGTTGAACGCATCAACAAGAGCTATAGCATTTGGACGAACCTATGAAACAAATAACGAGTTCAAAATTACCAACACATCATTAGTAATGTTGGTAGCTAACCTGTACGCGCTTTTGGCAACTTGAGCACCAATCTTTAAAATGGAGCATTTTTATTCTTAAGCTTTCAGTTTAGTTGCAGCAGTTCGGTTTCCATACTTATTCTTTTCTTTTCAGTTTTCTTTCTTTTTTGTTTTCTTTTTACTTCTTTGTTATTGGAAATAATGGAAAAATTGCCTTCTTCGAAATTCATTAACATTTTAGGAGAAAATTATACGGAAACCATCCATAAGGGCTACATCTGCAACTAAATTGAAAGGTCGAGGATACAGTGTTCCATTTTCAGAATTGGGGACCAACACTGCAATTTCACAACAAAATTTAATGACAAACCTGAGAATATAAGGCTCTGAGCTGATCATTAGCAAGTGAAGCCTGCTTAGGGCTTATGCAGCTGGTAGCAATGAAATCACCCTGGTACTTGTGAAGGAGGGATAGGTAATAGATACCACATAGCACCTCCAATTGTTTCTTGACCCCTTTACCAGGAATGTCTTGTTGCAACTTCTCAATAAACCTATATAACACGGATGTTTTCTTAACGTTCTAAAGCATATATCGAGAATAAGAGAGATCAGCATTCACACCATTTTAACCACTCTTTATTTCACCACCTTGAAGAGAAATAGACAGACAAATAAAAGTTGGAAGGCTCTTATTTGTCCCATCATGAAAGCTGATGTAACGAGAGGTGCAGAAATAACTTTTGCCAAAAAAGAATTAATATGGAACTGAAATGTCGTGCAGTGATAAGACTACTGCAGTCTAAGGGTGTGTTTGAGCCTCATTATTTGGCATTATAATGAGATGAATAGTGTTTTTT